ACGCACACACACACACACACACACACACACACACACACACACACACACACACACACACACACACACACAGTTTCTGAGGGTCATTCAGCAGCATTAGCGTTTAGCAATAGCGATGATTAGCACATGCGATGTGTCGCTAACGCCTCGTTCACACTGCAGGAGGTTAGCCTGGTCTGAGGAGCTCCAGCTGTGATTGGGGGGAAATCAGTGGTCCAGCCAATGAGAGAGTGGGTCATGAGCTGATTGGTCATTGTGTTCAGGAGTTCAACAGAAGTGTTTGTGATTGGCCAGAACGGTCTTCGATACTCTGCCAGAGCAGATTAAAGCCGCGTCTGTCAGCTGACCTGCAGGTATACGAGCGATCCATCCGCGGACCTCAGGGAGACCTCAGACGCTGCGGGTCAGTGATGTCATCATCACAGCAGCCAATAGCCGTCTGCTCTTCCTCACTGCTCCGCCCTTAACAGCTGATTGGCTGTGGTTTGGGGGCGGGACAGCGTTCAGATGGTGTTGTGTGTGTCGCCCTCTTGTGGAGGGTGTGTGTAGTGTAGTGAACAGCACTGAGGCTGAGTTCAGTGCTGCAGTGTGACCCAGCCCAGCCCAGCCCAGCCCAGCCCAGCCCAGCGCTCTGCAGATGATCAGTCATGGAGAGAGCAGCAGACTCAGAGGAGACACCGCTCACACCGTCACGACTGTGGAGGAGGAGCTCACCGGTACAGCGTCTGCTAGACACACACACACACTCACGCACACACACACGTCTCCAGAGCGCTAGATTAAACCCCTAATGAGCAGAGTCTCTGGCGCTTCATTAATATGTAAATGAGCTGTGTTTGGGCTGAAATTAGCGGCTCTCAACACAACTGATGGAGATTCCCCAGAGCTGCACATCTGATGGACTGAACTGTGGAGGTCCACACATCTCTCTTTCCTCACACACACACACACACACACACACACACTGATGAAGCTGATCAGCAGTGTGTGCGTCTCCGTCCTGCAGTGTGTGTGTTGGTCATGTGACTGTGAGGCTCTGTGCAGATAAGCCTGATTCCTCTGCTCTGCTAATCAGTGGCTATTCTCCAGTCTAATTAAATGCTGTGATAGTGCTGTGTGATGCAGACACACACACACACACACACACACACAGACACAAACACACACACAGTGCAGACACGACACTGTACAGCACAGTGGAGTGTAATGATGGCGATCAGCTGTAGTCTGTCTGAAGTGTGTGTGTGTGTGTGTGTGTGTTTCTTCAGCTAGAATGATGAAGAATAGAGTCTGCTGTTGAGTTATTATGTGCCTGAGCACCAGCAGAGCCCTGGGGTCCTGATAAAGTGTGTGTTGCAGGAGATGCATCCTGCAGCACCCACAGGTCTTCTCCTTCCCGCATGTGCCGCTGCAGTGTGTGTGTGTGTGTGTGTGTGTGTGTAATCAGTGTTGTGTGTGTGTGTGTTCCGCAGGAGATGTCCCGTATCCTGCAGCACCCGCGCGTCTTCTCCTTCCTGCATGTGCCGCTGCAGTCTGCGTCTGACAGTGTGCTGATGGAGATGCGGAGGGAGTACTGCTGCGCCGACTTCACACACCTGGTGGACTACCTGAAGGAGAGGTGGGTCATTCCTCACGCTTCAGCAGTACTCACTGTCAGGAATACTGGATTCTGATTGGTCAGTCTTGACATTTCAAGGTCTGTTATTCCCAGATAACCCCCGCTGAATAACACACACTCAACTGAGAACTGAGAGTCACCGTCAGTGAATACGATCACCATCCATACACACACACACACACACACACACACATACACATTTACACACACATACATATTTACACACACATGGCATTTGAAGCTGTTTTGGTCTGTTTGTTTGTGTGTAGTGTGTGTGTAATGCAGGGTCTGGTTAATAATTAAGCTGTTCTTCATCATATATATAAATATTGAACAGTTCAGTTCACTCAGCTCAGCTCAGGTCAGGTCAGTGTGTTGTGGCCAGCAGCTGTGTCATAATCAGGATAAAGCTCCTGCAGCCGGTTGGTATTGATCTTCTATGATCTTCTTGTTCTCTATACTGCAGTGATCACGTCCAGTGTGTGTGTGTGTGCGTGCGTGCGTGCGTGCGTGCGTGCGTGCGTGCTTGCGTGCGTGCGTGCTTGCGTGCGTGCTTGCGTGCGTGCTTGCGTGTGTGTGCGCGTGTGTGCGAGTGAGAGAAAGAGTGGCACTTGGGGGAGTGACGCCCGTGTGTGTTTCCCGCTCTGCCTCGCGCTCTGATCTCTCCCTCTGCGTGACTGCAGGTTTGTGTGTGTGTGTGTGTGTCCTGTAGCCGCTCTGGTTCCCGCGCTGGTCTTCCCGCCTCTGCTTTCAGTCCGGCTGGATTAAACTCTGTTCACGTCTCTGTATGAGTCACTGTGTGTTGTCAAACGCTGAGTCACAGGACACACACACACACTCTCTCTCGCAAACACACACACACACACACACACACACACACACTCACACAGTAATAAACGTCTTGTAACACACACTCTGTCACGCACAGGAGGGCCCCAGAGCAGTGTTTTCAGTATCTGCGGCACTTCTTGTGCTCTCTCTTCCACACACACACACACACACACACACACACACGCACTGCAGAACCGGTTTTAGGTGTGCCGCATGTGGGACAGGAGTTTGCTCCCTGGGGCGATGAAACATGAGCAGGAACCGTCTGTTCTGTTGTGTGTGTGTGTGTGTGTGTGTGTGTGTGTGTGTGTGTGTTATGAGTGTGTGTGTGTGTGTGTGTGTGTGTGTGTGTTTGCGAGAGAGAGTGTGTGTGTGTGTCCTGTGACTCAGCGTTTGACAACACACAGTGACTCATACAGAGACGTGAACAGAGTTTAATCCAGCCGGACTGAAAGCAGAGGCGGGAAGACCAGCGCGGGAACCAGAGCGGCTACAGGACACACACACACACACACAAACCTGCAGTCACGCAGAGGGAGAGATCAGAGCGCGAGGCAGAGCGGGAAACACACACGGGCGTCACTCCCCCAAGTGCCACTCTTTCTCTCACTCGCACACACGCGCACACACACGCAAGCACG